TATTGTATACCTAAAATGTACCAATAAAAGAATTTAAGGGAAAATAATTTAAAAATAAAATAAAATTGTGTTTTGGATAAGACAAGGTGTGTTAAGTTTCGAAGGGAATCCATTCACATACTTTATATTAATCTATAAACCTTCAATATGTTTCCTTATATTTAAAAGCATGAATATAATTTTATAAATGTATAGACAGAGCATCCTGACTATAATAGTAAGCTTATTACAATGTAGCACACACACATACATTTATAAATGTGAACGTTTTATGTGGATGTAACTGAATACACTCTAAAGGTAGTTTTAACAAAATCATTATCTTTTACACTTTCCAAATTTATACACATGCACACAAATTTGTTGATATAGGCCCTACAGAGTGACTTAATATCCAAAACACTTAAAGTAATTCATAATATTTAATTATTAATTATATTAATAGCAAAGTGTTTAAATTCTGAGAATGCATAAAGCCAAATAGTGTTTTCTGTATCCCAAGATGCAGAAAATCTTTATCATACATTTATCTTAAAATATCTTTATCATACATTCCTGTGTGTACCCTTACTCACATAACAAAGTCTTTAAAGTTCCCATTCCAGTGTTCAAGTAAGTTTCTGCAGATTGAGCACTTTGAAAACTTGTTAAATATTCTTAAAGATTATTTTCTAATTATTCCTTGGCATATTCTATTTTTAAAAAAGATTTTCTTCTTCTTTGGCATTTTTCAATATTATGTGTGATTCTTTATGCCCATGCACAGGAACCATGCATTAAAAAAATAAAATTTTAAAAAAGGAGCTAGGTCACAGTAAATAGCACATCCAAGAAACAAGTAATTTTACAAAGTGGGAAATACTTGTATTTCCTATATGCAATTACAAATACAGATCACCTGGTTCAGTAAGCTCAATAAAGCGTTCTGCAGCAACAATTTATTCTACGAATATTTGTTCCAGATTGATTCTCAAATTATGAAAGTAGCTAAGTGCTGTGGTGCATGCCTGTAATCCCAGCATTTGGGAGGCTGAGGCAGAAGGATCTCCAGAGTTTGAGGCCAGCCTGGACTACATAGCAAGATTCTGTCTCAAAAAAAAAAAAAAAAGGCATCAATTGAAAGTAATATCAGCTTCTTGAAAAGTCTCAGTATATCCAAATCTATAAAGAATAAAGAAAAACACTTCATTTCTTCATGCCTATGTGAAATATTATACATGCTATATGGGATTTTTCATGAGAGCTGATACCATTTAACCAAATATAGGTCATGGATATCTCCACTATTTGCTCAGTGAGGTTTTCAAATACACACAAACAATCCCATTAATTCTTCAATTTCATCCTGATCATACTATAGGGAGAATCTAAGGCCATGGATTTTTCTCACAATATTAGGTTATATTACATTTCCAATGGCATAAACTACTCATAGGTAACTTCTAGTGCTTTGCTGCTAAGTCTCACATGTCTTTATTTTTTAAAAACCACAAAATATCAATTACTTCTTAAATTGTGAGGATACTATAAGCATCTACAAAATAAATGCAAAAGTGAACAATTATAAAGAAGTTTATGGAAATATTCTGCATAAAAAAAGCTCAATAAAAACTCAATATTAAAAAACCTCAATATTTTATCCAATAGCATTCTGATTTTTCTTCTATTTGTAGGAAACTATGCAGGGGGTGGAAGGTATAGATGCTTAAAATTTTTATATGGGGGATTGAATTTGGCATTCACTCTGAGCTACATCCTCAGCTCTCTTTTATATTTTTTTTAATTTTTAATTTTTTTGCTTTGAGACAGGGTCTCAATAAGTTCCTCAGTTTTCCAGGCTCGGCAAGACCTTGTATTCCTGCCTCTGCCCCCCAGTAAACTAGGATTACTGGAATGCACTACCATCTCCAGCTATCCAGAACTTTGTTATTTACTTCAAGTGATGACATTTATGTGCAATTTCCTTAAGATTTGAAATGTTTCCTTATTTTTCTGTTCTATATAGAAAGATTACTTTTAAATGTCAGTAAATGATCTTTAGGTGATTGGATTTTTTTGTTAATAAAATATTAGAAACCTCTGATTTCATTGAGTACTCACAGCAAGAAATTTAATCATTATTCCATGTAGCAAGTGTTCAGAATTTTTTTTTCTTTTTGGGTACTGGAGATGGAACTCAGGACCTTGCACTTGAGAGGGAGGTGGCAGCACCACTAAGCTAAATCCCTGGCCCTGTTCAGAATTTTTTAAATTAAAAAATGTTGTTAGTACCTGTCTGTAGTAAGTAATAACATTCCTCCTCATGTGGAGTTGGTACACATGCATGACACATCTGAATTTTTTGTTTTAAATCCCTTTTTTCTCCTCTCCCTCCCTTTGTATTTTTTTTAGAGAAAATATAACACAATGAACATTACACTGAATATTATCAATACTAAGTTGTGTTTGTCAGCATTCCAAGTCTTCTTTATGAATGAAAGCAAAACTTGAAAGTCCATCCTCAAATATTCCCTTATAAAGATAGACACACACATCTTATTTTAATTTTACAGATATTCCAATGGCACATTGGCATGCTCCCATACATTTATGCTACAAGATTATATATATTAGAAGTAAAGTACAACACACTTTGCCATTCATGTTACCAGATGTTAGCAAACTTACAACATCTGATCATGTGATCTTCAAACACATCTCCTATTGATAAACTCCATGAAGTTTTTAACTAGGGATGTCTTAATTCTCTTTCATTTTTTAAATTTTGCCTCACTTGATTTGGAATCATGGACAGGCTGTTTTATTTTCTTTTAGAACTTTAAATGTTACCCACCACACACAGCTTTTTCCTTCCATAGTTTCTGAAGCAAATCGACTAGTAATCTTACTGAAGATTCCTTGTATATGACAACATCATTATAAATTATTTCAGGTTGTTCATTCTTGCTCTTGATAGCATGATTATATTGTGACTCACTCTGCAATTCATTGTGCTTTACATGAAATTTGTGAACTTCTTGGATGTATATATTCATGTTTTTCATGGACTTAATGTCACATTCACTGATTCTTTGTCTTGACTGTTCAAATCTGCCATTAAGAACTTTTTGGGAATTTATCATTTTGTTTTTTATACCATCCAATTTCAAAATTTCTAATTTTTAAAATAATTCTACCTCTTGCTGACATTCTATAATAGTGAGATGCTGTTCTCCTCATTTTCTCCAGTTCTATGTATGTGGTTTACTTTGGCACTTTGAGTATAGGTAAAATAGTTCATTTGAAGTCTTTTACAGTTTCTATTAATTGTTTTCCCCGTGAAGGGACTATAGTTTCTTGTTTCTGGGCATGTTGCATTTTTTTTAAATTCATCAAGTTTATTGGTACATTTTAGGTATACAATATAATGACATTCATCATTGGAAATTTGCACCTTTACATAATCTATCTTGGTTCTTATGTTTTTCCCCATTCCCCTGCCCTCCCTTCAACCCCTCCACCACTTCCTATTTACAAAGACTTTGTTTCCATTTTTTTTTCTCATATTTATTCCTTTCCCTTCTTTCCTTTCCCCTATGCCTCCCACTTCCCCTTCCCCTTTGGACCTTTTCTTCCTATTTCACATTATCTATTATACATTTTGATGTTGCATTTTTTGTTGTCGTTAAAAACTGCACACTTTTACTAATATATCAACTCAGAAAATGATTTCTAAACACCCTCCAAGTTGTGTTGATAGGACTGATCCCTAGGGATCAATCAACTCCTTCTCCCATTTGGGCCTGGAACCCTGAAAGTGCCTAAGGCAGACAATATAAAGTCAAGGAAAATACTGAGTGGTAGGGATCAGAGGGACAGAGACTAGGTGTGAAGAGGTGTACATTTAGGATTCAGTTTGGTTTCAAGTGCAAAACAAAAGCAAAGTCAAGGCAAGGCAAGTTTGGGCCTAGAGGATGGGTAAAATGAAAACATGGTGGCCTTTTTTCAGACAGGAAGGGCGGGAGAAGAGCACTGGGAGACAGTGCTTCTATGCATACTTGGAGCACTACTGCCATCGTGCGGAACCAGTTTCAGCACACCTGGCACCATGACAGCTTCCATCCCATAAGGCTTAGCTGTTGGGGAAGGTCCTGTTTGTAGGGAATTTGAAGAGACTTGAACACCAGGCGGGACTTCCTTGCCTTCTCCTAATGCCCCAAGACAAACCTGGACCCCAGGCTACTTCGGTGTAGGATTTACGGAGTGAGGGGCCTGCGATAGACCACCAGCTGCCAAAAACCACCCTCACAGGAAGTTGTGGGGTGGAGCTTGGGTTTCTCCCAGTGTGGAAGAGACAGGAGGGAACAACTCACAGATAAATTCAGGCCTTTAGGGCACCAGTCACCTGTTCCTGCCCCTTGGATCATGCAACAGTTAGCAGGCTTTTATATGATGGCCATATGCTATAGGGTTTTGGGGTCCCTTGTTGCAGCAGTGTGAAAACAGCAAGGCCATTCCAGTTCCAAGTGGCAGCTGCACACTCAATCCGAGTCCTTTACTCTCTAGGTTGTATCCTCAACAGTCTGTATTTGCTGCCTTGATTCTGGCTGGCCTCAGAGAAAAGGATTTGGGTGCTAAACTTGAGTCTTAGCCCTTCTGACCTCCTAGAAGTTCTGCCTTCCTCAAGTGCTACCTAGGGCTTTCATGGAGGAACAGCTCATGACTTAGGACTTTATGCCACCACTTCATTAGGACGGCAGTATTTCCCAGAAGACCCAAACTAGCCTACTTTCAGAGGCTCTACTTCCTCCGATCCAGTTTGAAAAAAATGCCACCAGGGGAAACAAAGACACTAGAAACTGTGGTTGTATTGCACTTTGGTCAATTTGAGGAAAAAGGCTCCACTCTTAGAATACTGCTTTTGCTTTCCATTTGATATCAAAATCAGCTCTAACATGCAACACCCTGTGTTCCATCTCCAACACTGGAAAAGGAAAAAGAAAAAGTCAGATCTAACCTACCCTCCCGCAATAGGCAGCCTCTCTTCCAGAAATCAACTCCCAAGTGTTCTCAGTTCTGCTCTTCTTCATGAAGCATTCTCTCTCAGTTTCATCTTGATATTAAATTGCAATATTGTGGGCCAATCCTCAGGGATGCATGCCTAAAAGGAAAAGAAAATGTTTACACCAATGACATGGTGAATGACAAATATAGGCATCAGGTTGCTTGGGTATCACCCTGATTCAATGTTCCAGGTTCCTTGGAAGTCCTGCTCTATGGTCTGACTTCAGTGATATGAATTCTAAGAGAGTATAGTTTCTAAATTGGTGTGCAGTGGAAGCATTAAAGAATCTTCTATAAAACTAAGAAGTTGAAACTAAGCTTTAAAAATTAGCTATTTCTCCAGCTTCCTCAGATAGGGAGCAAAATTTGTCACATGCAGTCCTACCATCTAGGTATTTAACAGAATGTGACTTTAAAAATTTTCTGGATGAGCTGTTGGACCACAGCATGACTAAATATGCATAATTCTTGGCTTTGTTCTACCCTTCCTGCAAGTAAAAGCACCTCTGTACTTTAGATAGGGGTGAGCTAGCTGCCTTCACAATTTAGCTAAATCGTGAATTAACACATTTTCCCATTTTTATGGGTTCCATTTTATTTTTGATCACAGGTGGCAAAGGAATTGAGCTAACTGCGGTCCACATTCAGGCCTCTGCACTGGCCCCCATGACATCTGAGCCCATAACTGATACCTTCTGTGACTTTACAGGTGCAAGACAAAGTCTTTTGTCATGACAGCAGAGGAGGAGAAATACATGGCTCTTTTCTATTGTCAATCCCCAAGAGGTTGGCACATTTAGGCCTGAGAAAACCATTATTTATTTCACACTAGCTCTGGTTCTCCTTGCCATCATTATAGCTATAGCTATTATAGCTAATGAAGATTCCTCAACAGCCTTACAAGGAACCCACTCTTTTGGTGTTGATACATTCATAAACCCTGTTGTTAAAAGAATTAAAGATTTGTTGGGGCCTGGGATTTAGCTCAGTGGTGTGGCCTCCTTCCTCAAAAGATTTGTGGTGCTTACTAATCAACCAGACTATGAAAATAGAAGTTAGTGGAAGGATGGGCCTGGGATTTAGCTCAGTGGCACCATACCTGCCTTGCAAGGGCAAAGTCCTGAGTTAGATCCCCCGTACAGGGAAAAAAGAAAAAAAAGTTAGTGGAAGGAAACAAGTTGATTCAAAACTAGCCATCAAGGTAATAAAGACCTTTTCCCTCTCAAATTTTCACCTTCTAGGAGCTCAGAGGTATGAGGGTCTGTTACAGAATAACAAAAAGGGGAACAATGAAACAATAAGCAAGAAGTCCACACACAAAAAATTGGGATTAAATATTCAGAGAGCTTCCTTCCTCACATGTCTCTTCTTCTGCAGAACATCAAAAGGAAGCCAGGCATAGTTGCTCACACATATATTCCCAACTACTCAGGGGTCTGAAGCTGGAGGATTACAATTTGTAAGCCAGCCTAGGCAATTTAGGGAGACTATCTCAAAATAAAGAGTAGAATGGGGCCCAGGATATAGTTCCTTGGGAGAGCACACCTCGGTGCACTCCCTAGTACCACAAAAGCTAAAACAAAAGAAAAACAGAAAACTATTTCAAGGGAAGCTCAACTTCTTGGGGCCACAGCAGCATTTTTTATTCCAGACAGAAACAATCTTTACTGAAAGTCAATTATCATAAACTGGGAGAAAGACGGACATTACTGAATATTCCTCTTAGAATTTAGACTGCCAAGTGAAAGGGATAGGTACGTAAAAATTAGAGCAAAGATTATAAAACGGAGGCAAAAACAATTCAACTAAAATCATCTTCTCAGGTCCCTGGGCTATTACATTATTATAATTACACAATCAAGAACGGCAGCGAAAACTTCAGGGGTTCTTTGCTCCTCAAAAAGACGTTCTTCCTCACTCTCTGCTATCTCAGTATCTGTATCATTAAGTGAGGGAGTAATGTTGGTCTAGTGATCTACCGTGACCTTCTGCTTGAACATCTTGTTCAGGTGTGGCCTCACCTGTGCTCTGATGATCCAGGCAGGGACTACAGAGGAATCCCGGGAACTGGCTCCTGTGATAGTCTTTTTTTTTTTTCATTAAGTTTATTGGTACAGTTTAGGTATACATACAGTAACATTCATCATTGGGATCTTGTACCTTTACACGATGTATCTAGGTTCTTATTTTTTCCCCATTCCCCTGCCCTCCCTTCAACCCCTCCACCCCTCCTTATTTACAGAGATTTTGTTTACATTTTTTCCATTTCTTATATTTTTTCCTTTCCCTTCTTTCCTTTCCTTTCCCCTCCCCTCCCCCTTCTCCTTCCTCTTTAGACCTTTTCCTACGATATTCTATTTTTTTTTTTTTTTTTTTTTGGTACCAGGGATCGAACTCGGGACTTTGCGCTTGCTCAGCAGGCGGCGAAACCACCGAGCTAAATCCCCACCCCTCCTGTGATATTCTTATACCTACCTCTCCACCGAGACACTAAAGGTTGTTTTATTCTATGAAGTAGACCTAGAAGAACGTATATAAGTATTGAAAGATATGCATCGTAATAACCCAAAGGTTTATCAGCTGCTGTGAAATGTTTTCTGATAGTGCTTTTCTTTCTCATCAGCACATGGTTACTTTCCAAGTCCTTGGTAAGGATTCTTTTCTTTTCTTTTTGTTCCTGCATATTAGTTATACCAACTAGAATGTTTTGTTGTGGCGTCTTCATACATGCATAAAACATACTTTGATCATTCTCTTCCGATACTATCTTTTATTTTGTTTTGAGGCAGGGTCTCACTCTGTAGTTCAGGCTGGCTTTAAACTCACTATGTAGCCCAGGCTGGCCTCGAACTCACAGCAATCCTCCAGCCTCAGCTTCCCAAGTGCTGGGATTACAGACATGTGCCACCACATCCGGCTATCTTTTCATTTTCTACCCCCTCGCCACATCATGTTCTTTTTTTTTTTTTTTTTTGGTACCGGGGATTGAACTCGGGTCCATGCGCTTGCGCAGCAGGCGGCGAAACCACTGAGCTAAATCCCCGGCCCACCACATCATGTATTTTAATAGTCTTCTTTCTAGAAAGCATTATTCTTTAATTTATGCCTGAAATAATATCAAAAGCCTTATACCCAACAAATAAAATACAAAATAGAAACAAACACATTGCATAAATTCTCAAGACACTATTTCATGGCATAGGAAAATGCTGTGTTCACCAAAATGATGAGAAAATAAGACAAAACTCATAGAGAGTGATACCTACGTACCTGTAAGGATACTGGCAGGTGCGGCACATATGACCTACTACAATGACAGTTACGTACTCTTTCCTCTTGTGGTTCATGACAACTGTTGTCTACAATTTATAAGGGTAAAAATGGAGGATTCCTTCCTTGTCTTGGAGTGCAGCCAAGTAACAGACCACTTTGGATTTGTAAAGTGATGCTGGAAAAGATCTCTAGGATTATAAATATTGCTTCCTTTTTCTCTCATCATCCATCCAATTTATTCTCTGAGACAACTAAATGCCAAGGGGGACCTGCTGAACAAATAACACCAGGATGGCAAATTTACCCTAGAAAATTAATATCTGAAAGGACAAGAGTCCCAATGAGGAGGGTGGATTTAGGCCTGAGTGTGGTTTGAGATGGAAAAATCAATGCAGAGCAAGTTTGTGGCACCAGCCTAGGCAAAATACAAGGCAGCCTTGTTTCTTAGGACCTCTCTCTCAGGCCACATTTTTTTTTCAGTCAAGAAGGGTGGGAGAAGAGCACTAAAGGCCAGCATTTGTACCCATAGTAGAAGCACTACTGCCATCGTGCGGAAAATGTTTCAGTACATCAGGCGCCATTATAGTTTCCTTCCCATGTGGCCTAGCGATTGGAGAAAGGTCTGGCCTATAGGGAAATGGAAGAGGCTTATACTCCACGCTGGACCACCTCGCCTCTTCTAAGGCCCCCAGGAAGACCAGGACAGAGGAATTACCTCTGTGTACATCCTGGGGAGTGAGGGGTCTCGAGTGGGCCAGCTGCTAACAGAGACACCATCACAGGAAGTCGCTGGGCGGAGCTTCAATTCCTCTCAGTATGGACAGGACTAGAGGAACCCACTCAGAGACAAATGAAGACTCTTTGGATAATTTTCTCATACTTTGGTTTCTTCGTTGCATCAGTGTGAGAACAGCAAGGACATACTGGTTCCAGGTGATAGCTACATACTCAGGCCTGGTTCCTCACTCCCTACGTTCTACCCAGTCAGTCTGCATTTGTGCCTGGCTCCTGGCTAGCCTCAGAGACAAAGGTTTGCAGGCTAAGCTTGGTTCTGGGTATCTGAACTCCCATGGGCCCTGCCTTCTTCAGCTCCTAGGTCTTTCATGGATGGATTGCTCATGTCTCGGGGCCAAAAACATTTCTTCATGAAAACATTTCTTCATTTCATCATGAAAATATTTCATTACATCATGAAAACATTTCTTCAGGATGGCAATATTACCCCCAGAAAACCCAACTAGGTGCTCATCTTCCTCCCACCAAGTCTGCAAAAAAGTGCAAGATGATACAAACATAACTGAAAGTGTGGCTATTCTCACTTGGATGAATTTGAGGAAGCTTGCCCCCATCTTAGAATCTTCCATTTGGTTTCCATTTAATATAAAAATTAGATCTAATGTGCAAGTATTTTGTTTCATCCCTGGCCCTCGGAGGGGAAAACAAATAAAAGAAAGAAAAACATAGGCAAGAAGACAAAAGATCTAAGCTACCTACCCTCATCAGGCAGCTTCTGAAAAAATGAATTCTTACATAAGCAAGTCTTCCCATTTCTGATCTTTTCACGCAGCATTCTACCTCAAGTGTTTCCTCTTCATATCAAATTGTCTTGTCTGATTGGGGGCCAATCCTTGGACTTCAATACCTAGGAAGGAAAAGAAAATGTTCACACCTAAGGGCTTGGAGAAAAAAAAATGTAGGCACTAGGACACTTCAATATCCTGCCTCACTTCCTGAATTCCCTGGAAATCCTAGTGCACATTCTGACCTTGGCCATGATGATGTCCAAGAAAGTATATTTCCTCAAGAAGATGGAAACCAAGTATACAGTGGGTTTCTAAAAATCCCCTGAGGCCACAACTCATAGCTTCTGTGACTTTTTAGGCTCAACAGATTTTTGTTATGACAGGATATGAAGGCAGATAGATGGCTCTATTCTAATGGTACTCTGTTGAAAAGGAGAGCAACGCTTAGTCCTGAGAAAAGCATTATTTACCTCACACTAGCCAGTGTTCTACTTGCCCTCTTCATAGTTCCTGATGAAATCTCCTCAACAACCGTAGACACCCTTTGGGTGTGGAGACCTCCATGTACCCCGCTTTCAGAGGAACTAAAAATCTGTGCTGCGCAATGGAAGTCTCAGAAGATAGAATTAGTGAAAGGGAACAGATTTATTTAAACCCAGCACTGAGAAAACTAGAGGACACTTTTCCTGTCACAAATATCTACCTTTGAGGGTTTAAGGTTGTAAAGAGCATTATCAGGAGAAAAGGGCAAACAGTGAGATGACAGGCAGGAAATCAATGTGCTAGTCTGGGCCTTCTTATCTCTATCTCCTGCTCTTCGTCAAAATATAAAAAGATACCTTCACATCTTTGGGCTAGGATCTACATTTTCTTTCAAATAAACACCCTCTTTTTTGTAATTCCAGACATATGACCTGAGCAGCAGAAGAGGCATTACTGAAGCCTCTTCCTAAAATAGAGGCTGCCGTGTGAAAGGAATGGTTCCTTCTTAAAAGTTTATGGAAAAGATTAGAAAGATCAGGCAAAGGTGATTGTGCTAAAGTCAGCTTCCCGGGCCTCCGCTCTGTTACACTGTGACTCATAAGTACAGTATCTGTATTAGGTAAATGAGGAGGTAATGTTGGGCTAGTGATGCACAGTGACCTGCAGTGGATCTTGTTCAGGTGTGACCTCTCCTGGGCTCTGACGATCCAGCCAGGGACTCCCAGGGAGGGGGCCTCTTGGGACATTCTTAACTCTATCTCTCCATCAAGACAGTAATGGTTGTTCTGTGAAGAAAATCTAGAAGACTTTATGTATATAAAGGAAGATATGCATAGCAATAAACCAACTATATGTTACTTTCAAATGCTTTCTGACAATGCTTTTCTTCTTTATCTGCACAGTACTTTTTCCTTTTGAATCCTTGGTAAGGATCCTTCTTTTATTTTTTAATTCTTATGTATTAATATTACAGACAAGGGGGTTCATTTTATCATTCATATATGCACATAGCATACATTGATCATTCTTCTACATAACTGCCTTTTCCTTTCCTCTTCCTCCCCCTCCTCAGATCCTCTTCCTCTTCCCTAGTGATCTCCCATCTAGGTAGCATCATTCTTCACTTTGCAAATGAGAGAATATCATAAGCCTTATATCTAACAGAGAAAACACAGAAACAAACATATCCTATGAAATCACATGAAACAGTTGAGGAATATTTCATGGCAGGGGAAAATGTTGTGTTCACACACACACACACACACACACACACACACACACACACACACACAGATTAGAAAATGAGAAAAACCTCAAGAGTACCTCCCATAGAAAGTGATACCTATGTACCTATAAAGATCCTGCCATATGCAGCTTGTATGACGTGCAACAAGGACAGCTATCTAGTCACTTCTCCTACAGCTCACAAAAAATTGTTGCAATTGAGGAAAGCAGAAAATGCAGGCCTCTTTGCGTCCCTTGGAGGGTTGCTAGGTCAGAGATCACTTGGATTTCTGAACTGCTGCTACAAAAGATCTCTGGACTTTTACAAAGTGTCCTCCTTTTTCAGCTTCATACAGAAAATTTATCCTATGAAAGACACAGCTACATCCTATGGGAAACTTGGACAACATTGAGTAAATAAAGTAAATCACACCTAAATGGACAAAGTCTTATGGAAAATTAATGTCTGATAGGACAAGAGTCCTAATAAGGAAGTATGGATTTAGGCCTCCATTCGGTTTCTCTTGGAACTTAAAAGCAAATTCACAGTACAGTGGGCCTGTGGCACCAGCCTGAGCAAAATTCAAGGAAATCATGTTTACTGGTGCCTCTGTCTCTCAGTGGCACTTTCACTGACTGGAAGGGAAAAACACTGGAGGACAGTGCTTATGCCCATATGTGGAGCACTACTGTCATCATGCAGAGAGAGTTTCAACACACCTGGTGTCATTTCAGCTTCCTTCCCATAAGGCCTAGCTGGTAGGATAAGATATTGCTTATTGTAGAGACCAGCATGAGTCTTGGACTCCAGACTGGGTTTCCTGATCTTCACCTAAGACCCCAAGACAAACCTAGACCCTGGCACTATCTTGGTATAGAACCTGGGTGGTGAGAGGATTGAAATAGACTAGCAAGGGCCAGGCTCACCAGCACATGAAGTCATGGAGCAGATCCAGGGTTTCTCCCATTGTGGCAGGACCAGAGATGCCCACTCAAAGACAAATGAAGACATTAGGGGCTGTTTTATCCTGTGCCTGCCCATTCAAGCCAAGTTAGGAAGCCTTTACTCAATGTCCCTGTGCTATAGGAACTTGGTCCTTCATTGTAGTAGTGTGAGCACATCAAGGACAATCTGGTTCTAGGTGGCAGCCACAGATTCACTCCTGGGCACGCGCTTTCCTGATTCTATAGCAGCACTCTGCATTTGTCCCTTGCTCCTGGTGGCCACTGGAAAAAAGGTTGGGAGGATATAGGAACTTGAGATGATCTGGTATCTTTCTTGGAGGAACTATTTAAGGCTTAGGCCTTATGAAACCATTTGAGTTTATACATGGTGAAAAATATGGGTTTCAACTCTGTCTTCTGCATGTGGATAGCCAGTTTTTCCACCATTTGTTAAAGAGACTATCTTTCCTCCAGCATATATATTTGGCCTCTTTGTCAAAGATCGGGCGGCAGCACGTGCCTGGAGTTGTTTCAGCATCCTGTATTCTGTTCCATTGATGGACATGTCTGTTAGTTTGCCAATAATGTGCTGTTTTTGTCACTGTATCTTTAAAATTTGAAGATTGGGATTGTGATGTCTCTTACTTTGCTCTTGATATCCAGGATTGCTTTTGCTACTCTGTATCTCTTCTGGATTCTTGCCAATTTTAGTATAGTTTTCTCCAGTCCTGTGAAAAATGTTCTTGGTGTTTTGATTGGGATTATGTTAAACTGTGTATCAGTTCTGGAAGTATGGCCATTTTGACATAATTGGTTCTGCCCATTCAGGACCAGGGGATATATTTCCATTTTCTGACATCCTCTTCAATCTCTTTTTTCAGAGCACTACAGTGTTCATTATTTAGGTCTTTCACTTTGTTCATCAGGTTATTACCTGAGTATTTAATTTTGCTTGATGATATTGTGAATGGTATTCATATTCTAATTTCTTTCTTGTTGAGTTCGTTATTTGTATACAAGAACACTATTGATTTTTCTGTGTTCATTTTGTATCCTGCCACACTACTGAAGTGATTTATATCCTGAAGGAGTGTTTAGGAGGAATTTTGGGGATCTTCTATGGAAAGGATCATGTCATCGCAAATAAGGATAGTTTGTCATCTTTTCCAATACATGTCTCTTCTATTTCTTTCTCTTGCCTGATTGCTCTGGCTGACACGAGTGGTGATAGAGGATGTCTTTGTCATGTTCCTGATTTTAGAGAACCCTTTCAGTTCTCCCCCATGTAATATGATATTGGTGATTGTTTTGTCACGTATCACTTTCATCATATTGATATAAGGTCCTTCTAAACCTATTTTTTTCAGGGTATTTTTTTATCATTAATTTTGTCAAAGGCTTTTTCTGCCTCAATTAAGAAGATCATGTGAATTTTATCCTTGCTTGTTTTTAGTGATGAATTATATTTATTGATTTGCATACTTTGAACCATCCCTGCATCCTGAGGTTGAATCCTAGTTGGTTATAATGTATGATCTTTTAGATTTGTTGCATTGTTTGCCAATATTTTATTGAAGATTTATGTATCTATGTTCATTAAAGAGACTGGCATATAGTTCTCTTTTTTGGTTGGGCTATTTTCTGTTTCAGGGATCATGGTAATGCTACCTTGCAAGAATAACTTTGGGAAAACTACCCTTTCACTTTTATGAAAGCATTTGAAGAGGATTGATGTTGGATCTTCGTTACAGTTCTTATAGAATTTGGCAGTGAATCCACTGGGACCTGGGCGTCTCTTCATTTGTATTTTTTTCTACTTTAATTTCATTGCCCATTATTGGATTATTTAGGGTTTTTATATCTTGTCGGTTCAGTTTTGGTACTTTACATGTATCTAGAAAGCTACCCATTTCTTCCAAATTCTCCAATCTATTAGAGTGCAGTTTCCAAAAGTAGTTACTAATAATCTTCTGGATTTTGGTGGTTTGTTGTGATTTTGCCTTTTTAATTACATTGATTTGAGTCTTTTCTTTCTTTTATTTTTGTAAGATTGGCAAAGGGTATGCCTATATTTTTTATTCTTTCAAAGAACCAGCTCTTGAATTTGATTCTTTGTATTGCTTTTTAATCTCAATTTCATTAATTTCAACCACAGACCAAAGAAGTTACTTTCTTCTTCTCTGAGGATTCCTTGGTTCTAAGTTTTTGCCAAGATTCAGAGATGTGGAAAAGTGGTTTGTGACATGTTTTTGCAACCTCAATCCTGGGTCACTGATGCTTTGTTGGAGGCGTGGACCCTTGGAATTGTTTTTTCACCATCCTCACTGACATCACCTTTGCTCTCAAAATTGGCTCAAAATGGTGGCAATGCCCTATAATCTCTCCCAATTTAGTATAACACAGGAAGCATGTTACATGTTACCAGCAAGGACTTTGAATGATTGTTCATTTTCAAAACATTTCAGTATTTTTGTTGAAATTAATAACCAACACCACTTGACAGTTTAGTCATCTTTAAGCTTCGAAAACAGATCAAGTTGTATATCATGCTTTTTGTTTAGATTACTTACACTATGCAGAGTACTTCTTCTGGCTTTTTGACAATGCTACTGGAGAAAAACTCTTCAAAACGCTTGGCATTAGGAGGGACTGCTTCTTGCCCTTTGAATTCCTGAAAGGAGCCTGCAGCCTTTTGTGTGTACTTCAGAACCTCACCAAACATTCTAGTTCCTGTAATGTGTCACCACCAACTCTACTGTCCTTTGTGTTTTAATCCGTACTACAAGGGATACAGGGCCCATAGCACAAGGACAGCAAGTGGAGCCCTGCAAACCTTTCTCCCAGTCAACAGAAACAACAAACAATTGCCCATAAGTTCCTGGACTTCACTTGGAGTGAAATCTTCTGACTCTCTCTACCCTGGAATAAAACCTCACCCATGCTCATGTCTTCCTCCATCAGAATCTCTGTACTCTCTTGGCTGAGAACTGACTGTCCACTCTCCAAGCTCTGTAACGGGACATCACCAATGTTCAGAAGCACTGAAACATATTAGGAGGGTGCCAAATAAGGAATGTGGATAAGGGCCTTTAAAAAAAAAAAAAAATGCAAACACAACAGAGAGGACACAGTGAGCTTATGGCACCAGGTTGGGCAATATACCAGGCAGCCATATTTCTTGGGTTTTTCAGTCTCGGGAAGCCCTTTTTTGTCGACACGAAGGGCGGGAGGACACCACTTTTACAGGTGGGCGGCGCACTGCTGCCATCGTGCGGAAAAAGTTTCATCACACCCATTGTCATTATGGTTTGTTTCCCATCAGACCCAAGGGTTGGCGAAGAGCCTACCTGCTGTGAATTATGAAAGGATTTGGCTCCAGACTGGGCTCCTTGCCTTCTCCTAAGGGCCCCTCAAGGGCCTTACTTACACACTGGCCCTACCTTGGTGTGGGGAGTAAGGGACCTGGAGTGGACCCGCAGCTGCCCTGCCGGCAGCCGCCATTCCAGGAAGTCGTGGGGGCGGGGCCTCGGTTCCCCTGGGGAGGACTGGACCAGAGACCCACTCAGACAGCTAGCTGCAGGCTGTTGGGAGTACTGACTCCTCTGCCTGCCACTTGGAGTCATTCTCAGTGGGCCTTTACATGATGTCCTGGTGGTATGGGCTTTAGGTGCCTCCCTGGGGCAGTGTGAGAGCACAAAGACAGGGAGTCCCGGGTGCCAGCTGCATGCTCAGTCCTGGCCCCTCACTCTCCAAGTTCTGCCCCAACCCTCTGCATTTGTGTCTTTCCTCTGCTGGCCTCAGAAAAAAGTATGAGCGTCCAGCTTGGGTCTGGGTCTATCTGACCTAAGCAAGCCCTGCTCTCCTCATTGGCTAGGGCTTCATGGAGGAGCAGCTCAGGACTTGAGGCTTTAAGAAACCGCTTCCTCACGGTGGCAGTGTTGCACCAGAAGACCCAATCAGCTTACTTCCCTGAGCTCTACCTCCGCCTTTTGAGTTTGGAAAAAAAAATGCGCAAAGAGACAAAGACACTGGAGCTTGGGCTACCTCGTGCTTTGCAGATTTAGAGAAAATATGTTCCACTGTTATTAGAAGACTACTTTTGCTTTCAATTTGATATTGATGATAGAGTTAATAGGGAAGGCTCTGTGCCGTGTAATCCCAGCTCCACAAAAATGAAGATAAAATTAACACTTTAAGAATTTTGTAAAAGTGATAATGGAAGCTACCCACCTTCATCAGTCAGCTTCCCTTTTCCAAAATCATTTTCCAGTGACCAAGCTCTCCCATTATTATCCTTCTTGATGCAACGTTCTACCTCCAGTGCTTCCTCTCGATCATCAAATTGTCTCCTGATATTGATGACCAAATCTCAGGCAGAGATCCATGCCTAGGAAGGAAAGCAAAATACTTAAAACTGTGGGCTTGATGAAGAACGGGTCTAGGCTCCAGGGTGCTTGGTTCTCATCCTGACACAAGTCCTGGGTTCCCCTGGAGTCCTACTCCATACTCTGACCTAAGCACCAGTCCTTGTATGGTAATCAGAGACTGACTGTAGGTGAAGCTAACAGGCTGAAGGCTGAATAATGTCTTCCCTGGAGTGACACCTATAATTGAAGGTGTATATACTACTCCAATGGGAGAGATCATTTTGGTCCCAGGGAATCATCCTTTAAAGTTCAAGAATTTTCCCATATGAAGTAGCCTATCCCTGGATCCTATGTGTGTACTGTGTATGTGGGTTATTGTTTTCACCTAGGGAAAGCTCTTCTCGTTTCTTTTTTGTAACTTAGTCATGGAGCTTTAACAGAATTCAGAAAAAAGCTATGTGTTCATGAAGAGATATGCACCAGTCATAAAACTTTATATTATACAGTGATAATCTTTTGCATGTCTACCCCCATTGTTCCAGTACCTAGAGACAATGGTATAAGTAGATAGTTGAACAATGCAATACATTTTCATTTAAATTGTATTTAGGAAATAGCCATAAAACCATCAAGAGTCTCACACCATCATAAAACTTTGTATCATATACTGACAATCTTTTGTATGTCTACTCTCATTCTTTCAATATATAGACATAATGTTCCAAACAGACACTGAAAAAACACAATACATTTGAATTTAAATTATTTTGAGTTACTCACTGTATTTTAGAAAGGACATTTTCACTTCTCATGGCCAGGCTATTTTTCACATTATCATAAAATATTTGGAAAATCTGGATTATAAAAATTAACATTTCCAGTGATTTCCATTGATGTGTTCTGTTTAATATATTAAGATCTCATTTAATAATTTTATCCATAAAATCTATTCATCTATAGCCATTTTATAAATGCATACATGTATATCTTTTAAAAACTGTTAGTTTTTAATTCTCATGTTTTTATCCTACTGCTACATGTCTGTAATCTCGGCTTTCTGGGAGGCTGAGGAAGTTATGATTCCAAATTCTGCAACCAGTAGATTCAGTCTCAAAATAAAAAGGGATGTGCTATACATCACCACAAAGGCCTTTGTTTCAATACCTCGCACAGGTAGAAAAAAGCTGTTATCCTAAAGTTTGATTTTTAAGCAAACTTGTGGTGATCCTGCCTGAGCATCATGAGGGATCCTAAAAGTTTACCTTTGAAAGCCCCATAGAAAGAAAGCAAAAATTAGAGAGAACCCTTGAACACTGGCATCTCTCCAATTTTATATATATAACGAGAACTGTTGATCTTTTGCATCTTGCAAATTCAGGCATCCTGACAGAAGCTTCAGAAACTTAGAGATGGATGCAGTCACACCATTCACATACAGCTAAAGTTGTTCATAAATTTCTGCTTATATACATATAAATACGATTCCCAAAATGTCATACACAAACACACACTTACTCTAACACTGACCATAATCGCAAATACACAGATTTTGAAGCTCTGTATATTCATACAATTGCATGCACGTACAGCTACCACATGCTCATTTCTCTTCAGATATCATTGTATGTGTTGGTCACTCTACACAGTCCCTAGCAGCAGCACTGTACACTACCTTTGGCAGAGTTTGGAGTGCTTAAACTTTTATATTTCCCTCTAGACATTTCAGAATTTATGAAGCAGACAGAAACCATGTGTCAGGCCATGTGTCATGTCCCAGGGAGAAAGAAACAGGCATATTCAAATATCTGTGAGGAGGGGGAAGTGGGGGCAAACCTCTGTAATCACCACGCTCTAGAAGGCTGAGGCAGAAGGATGGAAACTTTGAGCCCATCTTAAGCAATTTAACAATTTAGCAAGAACTAGTCTAAAAACAACAACAAAGACTTACGATGTAGCTCAGGGTGAAAGGCTTTGGGTTCAATCCCCAGTAAAGGAAAAAGTACCTGTGCTATATATGATCAAGTCTTCCAATGCTTATATAGCATGTAGTTTGATAAAGCAATGTTCACTTTCCAATGCCGTTTTGTTGTTGCTGCTGTTGTTGTTGCAGTAGTAGGGATTGAACCCAAGGCCTTCATGTCCGACACCTCCGTTTTGTAATTTTCATTTTCAGACAGGGTCTAGTTAATTCACTAAATTTCCCAGTCTGGCCTTGAACTGGGGATGACTCTCCCTCGGCCACCCAGAGTGCTGGGATTGCAGGCATGTGCCCCCGCACCTGGTTTTTCATACCATAAATGTTAAAGCACGTTTTCTTCACTTGCAACTTGAACATTTTTCAAATGTAATTAGTATTTTTTTGAGAACACTCATCTTTAAAACTATTGCCGCTTTTTAAAATTGAGGCGACATTCATGTAGCACGACATTACCCATTTTACTGTGCGCAATTCAGTGGCATTCACTACATTCACAGTGCTGTGCCAGCTTTACCTCTGTCTAGTTCCACTTAATTTTAATTCCTCCAAGGAAGCTTTGGACTCACTAAGTAGACATTCCCCTACCCCCACACTGCCTAGCTGCCTGCACACTCTATTCTATTTTGTACCCCTGTGGGGTTGCCTAGTATTGGTGAGTTCATACAAATGGAGCCATTACCCAACTTGGCCTTTTGTGGCTTGCTTCTTTCACATAGCATCACGTTTTCAAAGCTCATCTCTGATGTAGGATTCATTAATTCTTCATTTGTTCTCATGGCTGAACACTGTCACTTGTACACGCCCAGGCCACATTTCGTTTACCAACTCAGCAAGTGGTGTATGTTTGGCTTCTGTCTACCTCTTTGCTGTTCCTACTAGTGCCACTATGAACGTGTATACACATGTACTTTTCTCAGTATGTTTTCAATTCTTTTGGCTACACAAGGAGTGATCACAAAATATGGTGAATGCTTCAATTTTTTAAAATTTGTTACCGTAAAAGACATTTTGCCATTAAGCTCCCTCAAAATACTCCCCTGTGATTAAAACACATCTATGCCATCCTTCCTGCCACTTTCTGAAGCACTTCTGGAACTCTTCTGCCCCTGCTTTCGACACCCTAAATTGATATGAAACCTTTACATTCTCGTGGTCATTTTGAGTTTGTAGAAGAGCCAGGAGTCGCATGGTGTCAGATCCCATGAATAGGGGGATGAGGTGACACTGTAATGTTTTTATTTGACAGAAATTGCCACAAACTATTGAACAATGAGCTCTGACTTTAAAGTAGGGGGAATGTTTAAATTTAAACATTTATTACAAGGGCCAGGGTTTTACCTCAGTGGCACCGCACCTGCCTCACAAGCACAAGGTCCTGAGTTCAATCCCCTGTACTGAAAAAAAAGAAATGTGCTAGATTAAAAGACACACTGGGCCGCAGATTTAGCTTAGTGGTTTTGCCACCTGTCTGGCAAGCGCAAGGTCCACAGTTCAATCACCGGTACCAAAAAGAAAAAGAAATTTTTTTTTTTTAACTGACACATTGCCATTTACCTGCCTCAAAATACTCCCTCTTCCTTTGAACATGTCCTCTTCCCATCATCCTTATCAATGTGTCCTTCCTGAAATAAGCTTGCATTTTTCTATTTAAAAGCACACCGCATCTTTCTGTCACCCCTTGTAAACCTGAGAGTGCAATTACCAGTGCACATGGTGATTCCACGTTTCCATCTTTGCAGTATTCTCAAACTGTTTTGCACAGCAACTGCACAACTCTGCGTTCTCACCCGCACTACACAGGAAGATTCCGTTTTTCCCACCTCCTGGCCGATACTTGTATTTTCTTACTGTTTTTGAATGCTCATTCTACTGTGTGTGAAATAGTGTCATGGGGTGTTTCCGTTTGTTCCTTTTAAGTTTTGTTTTGAAACAGGGTCTCGATAAGTAATTCAGGATGGCCTTGAACTCACTGTGTAGCCCAGGCTGGCCTCAAACTTGCAGAGAGCCTCTTGCCCCAGCCTCCCAAGTGCTGGGATTAAAAGTGTGCACCACCACACCCAGCGTCATGGGATGTTTTTGATTTGTATTTCTGTACACTAACAATATTAAGTGTCTTTTCATGTGCTTGTTGGCCATTTGTATAATTTCTTGGGGGAAGCATTTACTCAACGCCATTGACTATAGTAAAATTTGTGCTCCATTTTTCTTGTTGAGTCACAAGAGTTCTTTCGGTATTCTGGAGATTAGAACTTCTTCAGATAATTGAATTGGAAATGGATTCTATTCTAGGAGCTGCCTCTTTCTGTTGTCGATAATGTCCATTATTGCACATCAGTTTTCAATTCTGATGAAGTTCAGTCAATATATTTTTTTTGGATTATCCTGCTTTTAACAGGATATCCAAGAAAGCACTGCCAAATCCAAACTCAGGAAGACTTACCCCTGTATTTTCCTGTAAAGATTCACAGTTTTAGCTTTTTTAATTCTTTTTCTTTTCTCTCCTCCTTTTTTTTTTTTGAGATAGGGTCTCAGTATGTAGTTCAGGCTGTCCTTAAACTCACTATGTAGCCCAGGCTGGCCTCAAACTCACGGCAATCTTCCTGCCTCAGCCTCCCAAGTGGCAGGATTACAGGTGTGTACCGCCACACCTGGATCAGAGTGGTAGCTTTAACATTTAATCTTTGATACATTTTGAGTTAATCTCTGCCTATGGTGTGAGGCAGGGGTCTGACTTCACTGTTTGCATGTAGGAAACCAACTCTCGCAGCAGTATATATTAAAGACACTATTTATTCATTCTTCCATTAAATGACCTTGATGACTTTATTGAAAATCAATTCACCATAGCATATGTGTTTTTTGTTGTACTCTCAAAATAGCCCACTGATCACTGTGTATATTCTTATTTGAATTACTGTGGTTACTGTAGCTTTGGTAGTAAATTTTGAAATCTGGAAGTATGAGTCCTCCACCTAGTGTTTTTCACTCAAGGATTGTTGTGAGTTGGGCCTGGTGGCTCAGGCCTGTAATCCCAGCACTACG